ACTCATAACCATAAGGAACATAATTTAGTTTGGGGGTGCAAGTAAAAACGTAACATGCCACATGAGCTGTTTTTAAGATAAGAAGAGGGAACGAAAAGCTCGATCTAGTAACTTTAGCAACTTCAGATACAAATATAAACACCCACAAACACCCTCTCTGTGGGCAGTTGCACAGACAGGCCGAGAGGGGGCCTGGGAGACGCAGGAGGAAGACCGATACTCTGTAGAAAGGAGAAGGAGGCATTTGGGCTGGGGAGGAGGGAAGTGGTTAAAAACGGAAAAGAAACACAGAAAGCTCTGTGCAGAGACACACAGCGACAGAGAAGAGCCTGCAACTTCTGCTGCCTGAATCCACGGCGCAGCAGCTCCATCCTGAGCCCCACCGTCCAGGTTCCTGCTCCCTAAAGAGCCCCAAAGAGCAGATGCCCTTATCCAAACAAGGTGTCCCCCGCGCACCCCCTCTTTCCTCTAGGTCTGGCCCAATCTCTCTTCTCTCCGGAATCAACACAGGCACTGCTTTCCTCAAGGCTGTGACCCCTGGGCGCCCAGGGCCTTGTTCCTGAATCTGTCCCCTCCACCCTCCCTCCGCCCCACAGTCAACCCGGTGGAATGCCACGTTTCCCGGCGGTACCACACGGCACCGGTTCTGCAGGGTGTGTATTATGAGAAGCAGTGAAGGGAAAGGTCCATGGAGTTTGGACAAGTGCCCCCACCGTTCAGATTTAAATTGGTTTGCTCACAGTAGGCCTTTACAAATCCAAGGTGTACTCTGACTCTCAAACAAGGCCGCAGTGAGCAGTATTTCTACACATAGAGGGACGCAGCCCCTGTGTTGGGCAGAATCCCGTGGAACCCACTTTGGGCACCACAGGGGGTGGCTGTCGCAGGCAGGTTTTGAATCCAGGCACACACGGTAGCCAGTGTTGTGCTCAGCACCCCTGAAGGCACAGTCCCTGCCCCCCGACTCCCCAGCTGCCACCCACTGCCACCACACCCAGTAAGGCCTTGGACGTTCCTCTTCCAGCATCACGCTCACCTCCT